CCTGGCGGAGGAGGGGGTCATTGAGTCTGAGTGGACCATGTTCTCTTCCTCTATCGCCGATGCGGCGGCTCGTAGCTGTGGCCGCAAGGTCTCTGGTGCTGGTCCCGGCGGCAACCCCCGAACCCGGTGGTGGACACCGGCAGTAAGGGATGCCGTTAGGCTGAAGGAGTCCTATCGAGCCATGATAGTTCGTGGGACTCCTGAGGCAGCGGTCCAGTACCGGCAGGCCAAGCGTGCCGCGGCCCGGGCTGTTGCAGAGGCAAAAACCCGGGATTGGGAGGAGTTCGGAGAGTCCATGGATTATGACTATCAGTCGGCCTCAAAGAGATTCTGGCAAACCGAGATTCTGCTTCCCCCTCCGCCTCAGGAGGGGGAAGCAGTTCTTTGCCAACACCGTATATGGTGCGGGTGGAGAGCTGCTGACCTCAACTGGGGATATTGTTGGGTGGTGGAAGGAATACTTCGAGGTTCTCCTCAATCCCCCCGTCACGTCCTCAGTCCCGGAGGCAGAGGCTGAGGATGTTGGGGTGGATACTTCCATCTCCCTGGCTGAGGTCAAGGTGGTTGGCAGCCTCCATGGTGACAAGGCGCCGGGAGTGGATGAGATCCGTCCTGACTATCTAAAGTCTCTGGATTTTGTAGGACTGTTGTTGGCTGACACGTCTCTGCAACATCGCGTGGCGATGCCAATGGAGTGGCAGACCGGGGTGGTGGTCCCTCTCTACAAGAAGGGGGATCGGAGGGTGTGTTCCAATTATTGTGGGACCACACTCCTCAGCCTCCCCGATAAGGTCTACTCCAAGGTACTGGAGAGGAGGCTACGGCCGATGGTCAAATCTCGGAAAGAGGCCCGGCTTTTCGGAGTCAGTGGTAAAGAGGTCCGCACATTAAAAGCATATTGCCGCTTTATGCTGCTCCTTACGGTAACGTTGGAAAGACAAGCAGCGTGGATGAGCCGCCACAATGCACTTTTTTACCGTAAGTAACAGGATAAAGTGGCCACCCGCTTTAAATGTGCGGACCTCTTTACCGCTGACTCCGAAAAGCCGGGTCTCTTTACCATAGTCGGAGAACAGTGAGGGCGAGCCGCAAGTGATGCCCTAGACCTCTGCTAAGGGGGGAGCCCACCAAGCCCATCACTTGTGTCACTACGCAAGTAAAAATACGCAAGCCTCCTTTTTTGGGCTGGCGAGTGCTTGGTTGTGGCGCAAGTCTCTATAAAGCGTTATTCCGAATCAAGGAAATACCTGCTCATTTCATGTGACGGGAAGGGCTGTTGAGGCGGGGGAGCAGCGCATTTATCATGGGGGTCGCGGGCTAAAAACTTCAATTGGCAACCCCTGGTGTAGGCGACTGGAGCAGGTCATATCTCACGGCAAGGTGGTTTGGTTAGCTCAGCCATGCTTGTTGTTGTTTTGTTTTTATCTGAAGGAGTGTGCTGTGGATGCGTGCTCTCGGTGTGTTCTCTTTAGCGTTTTGAAGACCGTGCTGACTGTTTTTCAGTTCCGCTTTACTTGGCATATTTAAACAATCGGAATTTGGATCATATTGAATTGTTCTCAATTCTTCCACGACCAAATCGCAATTAATCAAAGAATTGGAAACCCCCACCTTGGAAACCCCCATATTGGCTAGTCCCTTTTTTCGTTATCATTGACATCACCAAGAGCAGCACACTGTAGGACAATGTGGCCTACAGTGATGAAAACTATCCTAAATGAGATGGTGTTAATGATATAAGCTTTAATCTAGATGCTTTGACTAAGTGACCACACTTTATTGCAGATATCAGAAATATATTGGTTTCACTGGACTCTGCAGACACAACTTCAGAGACAACAAAACTTGTGTAGAATATGAAAGAAGTGCAAGGTGTTGTCATTTCATATTGTGGTGGATGTGGCATCTACTGTATTGTTACTTACCAGAGACTGTAAATTTTACACACAGCTAAAAACACAACTCAGATACCAGTGTTTCCCACACATAGACTAATCTGTGGCGCACCGCCACAGATTAGAGACCGCCCGCCACAAATTGCGTTTCGTATTATTATATATATATTTTTTTTGTTACGCTATTTAAAACATGCATCGTCTAGTGCCGCCGCAGCGGTCAATTTGACAGCGGGGAGGGGGGTTTAAAATGTGGCGGCCCTTCGTAACTCTCACTCAAGCTACGCGTCTCTCCCACATACAGAGACCTACACACACACAGCCACTCCCCTTCGTGCACACCGCGTGTCTCCGTCTCCATCAGCGATCATCGCTGTAAGCAGCTGTGTCTATTAATTTACCGCGGTAAAGTGGCCCGCATCTTTCAGCTCTATGAACATGCGGCCCGCATCGGGGAAAAGACGGTGCGCGTTTTGTTGAGAACTTACGGTAACAGCGGAACGTCCTTTCGGAGTCACCCATTTTTATCGAACAGAAAGCGCGCTGGGGTCAGGGAGACACGTTTTTGTGATTAAAACCTTATAGAGATGCCACCCGGCACACATAGCACCAGCCCCCTACGATTCCTCCGGCAGATTGTGAGTTCTCAGGAGGATAGCCACTCTATTGTTTACATGTATAAAGTACACAATTTGGTCCGCTAGTGCAATTTTCAAGTATTGTAACTATTTACTGGAATAAGGTGTGCGACTAATTTCACTTGACTCATGACCTTATTATTGCCCTCTGCCACTGTACCAAAGACCAGAAACTTTTACTGTAGAAATATTGAGAAATATTGAGGTAAAGTAGCCATTTTGGTCCAAAATACCTCCAAAATAGTCAAAACATGTCACTTTTGATCTACTGTAACTTTTTACTGTAAAAAGGTGTGCGACTAATTTCACTGGATTCATGACCTCAAGATTGTCCTCTACCACTGTACCAAAGACCAGACACTTTTACTGTAGAAATATTGATTTAAAGTAGCCATTTTGGTCCAAAATAGCCTAAAAATGGTCAAAACATGTCACATTTGATCTACTGTAACTTTTCACTGTAAAAAGGTGTGCAACTGATTTCACTGGATTCATGACCTCAACATTGCCTTCTACCACTGTACCAAAGACCAGACACTTTTACTGTAGAAATATTGAGAAATATTGAGGTAAAGTAGCCATTTTGGTCCAAAATACCTCCAAAATAGTAAAACATGTCACTTTTGATCTACTGTAACTTATTACTGTAAAAAGGTGTGCGACTAATTTCACTGGATTCATGACCTCAAGATTGTCCTCTACCACTGTACCACTGTACCCCCCTCCCCCCCCCCCCCCGCCGACGACCACCACACATTGCCTTCAAACCTGTGGGAAACACTGGATACAGTTTACAGATTCAGCATTACTGCGATACAACAACTGCCGCGACTGTACACTGCAGAGAGAGAATTAGAAAAGGTTTCTTACTATTTATTAGAGCTGCAACTAACGATTATTTTGTAATCGATTAATCTATGGATTATTTTTTACAATTAATCGAGTAATCGCTTGGCTGTGGATTGTGTAGAAAAAAATTATTTTTTCATCACAAAAAGCTAAAGTGGCAACACTCGAGGACGTATTGATGGCGTAAACTTAAAGTAAATGTTTGTAACAGGCTCTTTGTGCTAATTCTGCTATCTGATTGGATGAGACAGACAGATATTCATGAAATTATAAAAACAAAGTCGATTTTAATAAAAAATATTACATTTTCATGTCATTTTTGCTCTGTTTGAGTCCGTGTGAACCAGAAAACGATTAATCGATTACTAAAATAGTTGTCGACTATTTCAATAATCGATTAGTTGTTTCAGCCCTACTATTTATGTAATCAGGGATTTCTTTAGCTTAAATATCGCAGAAGCACTTTGTTTCTCTTTGCACTGCCTTCCTTGTGTTGTTTTATTTTGTTCCTGTGTATCGAGTTATGCATCATATCAGCACACTCTAAAAGAAAACCTGGCCCTGCCATTTTATCACTTTTGTGCCAAAAAATAAACTGTGATGATGGACTGTAGTTTGGTTCAGTCATACATATTCCTATGTTATTATACAATCAATGAACTGTCTTCTTGATGTCCCCATACATTGACCTTGTTTCAGTTGTATTTCACTTTATATCTTAAGATGTTAACATCTTTATAGCAGGTTCCGTCCACGATGGAACATAATGCTGCCTGAGACTGTCTCTGTGGTCGGTGTCGTTTTTAATGCGTTGGTTTGGATTTACAGGCTACAATCTGACCCAAATGCAATTCTATGCAATGCTTCCTAGACAGTGTATCACAGGTGAGCCCAATATGCCGATTGCGACCAATAATTGATCGCCAGGGCAGGGTTGGAAACTTAATTATTCCTATAAGGTTTTATTGTTTTCAAATGTTCTTTCTGTGCCTGTTAAGCACCCTGGGTTGCTTCTATATGTATGGTGCTTTTTACACTACCGTTCAAAAGTTTGGGGTCACCCAAGTGTTTTCCATGAAAAGTCACACTTATTCACCACCATACGTTATGAAATGAATAGAAAATAGAGTCAAGACATTGACAAGGTTAGAAATAATGATTTGTATTTGAAATAAGGTTTGTTTTACATCCAACTTTGCTTTTGTCAAAGAATCCTCCATTTGCAGCAATTACAACATTGTACCAAAAACCAGACATTTGCAGCTAGAATAGTCATTTACCACATAAGCAATGTATAGAGTGTATTTCTATACATTTAAGACTAGTTTAAAGTTATCTACAGTGCTTTTCCTTTGAATATACATTTGAATGTGACCCCAAACTTTTAACGGTAGTGTAAATAGATTTGCCTTATTTGCCTTAAAAATAAGGCTCGGTCAAACCCCTTATCTTCTCTTGTTCTGACGGTCAGTATTGTTCACCCCAACAATCGAAGGATTTTCTTGTCTGGTTGTAAAAGTCCTGTCAATGAACGGAACATATGTGTTTCTGGTTTGTAGGAGTTGCCTGGTGAGCAAGGTGGGGTACGGCATGCTGAGGCCACTCCCCCTGGCCCAGGATGAGTGTCAGAGATGGCGCTGCCACCATGGCAACGATCGCAGGTGGAGGAGGAGGAGGGGGAGGCGGGCTGGCCAGCCTCAATGACCTGGACAACCGCTCGTACCTGCTTCAGATTTATCCCCGGCTAACTACGCAGTCCTCTGCCTGTTGCTGCCTCACGTGAGTTGTGCACTCTCGTTGATATAAAAAGTAGCATTGTGTGAGGTTAACTTATTGAAATATTTTTCAGTGTCCAAAAGGACTCCACAGCTGCCTCTGTGATCTCAGATGCTGCCGCGGCTCTAGGGCTGGACCCTAGTCGTTCTTATGTTTTGGCAGAAGTGAAAGAAAGTGGTGGCGAGGAGTGGGTTCTTGAGGCCGGGGATCTGCCAGTGCAAAGAGTTATGCTATGGCCTCGCAAAGCCCAGGAGAAACACGCTCAAACTCTGGGATTCTACTTCCTGTTACAGGTAAGGCTCATCATTGACTTTGTAGATCTGCATTAGTGTGTTACATTTCATTACTGATGCTTTTTGTTTGTTTAGAATTCAGAGAAACCATTGGCATCGCAACATTTTCCCAGAGCAGCTTGGCAAAATTGCCATGTATTTAAACATGCACACTGAGCTGACATTCCATATGAATTGTCACAAATATAGGATTTTTTTTTAGGCAATTAATTGGTCAGAGTTTAATCATTTAGAATTTTTTGCATCTGCTAAGTCATGAGCTGCTTGTGAGTGTCAAAGAGACAGCAATCTCCTGGTATGAATACTAGGACTTGGCATCTTTTTACTGTCTCATAATATTACAAATTACATTTTAAAATATAAATACCCATGTAGAAAGTTGTGGTATCGAATCTGTTCAGTATTGCAATATATTTTTTGCACGTTAGTAAATTGATACACTGGAGCAAAGTATTGTAATATTTGATTAAATAATTAGCCGTTTCACTTTTGTGTTTTCTCAGATAATTTTCAACTGAGATTTATGTTACTCTATTATCTCTGCTTTTGATTACTCTAGTCTATTGTATTTGATAGTTATGTGCTGGGAGCTCACCATTCATGTGAAAAGTACATGTTAGTGTATGTAACATATTCACCAAAAGCAATTTGTAAACGGGCAACGAGACGAGAGCACGTTGTGTGTGTTAGCGGAGGAGCAGACAAGTGTGTGCGCTGCTAATGCCATAGTGAATTAGAATTAATCAGAAGTCACCGTTTCTTAGTGCACGCATAAGTGTGGCCCAATTATTGCAATACTATACAATCGTCGCAATTTTGCCAATTCCTACCCCTATCAGAAAGTACATGCTTGAGATTTTTTTTCAGACTGAAATAAGTTGGTCCCATCTGACTTTGTTAAAACAACTTCTGATTTGTCACACAGGAAAGGAACCACGATGGCACCATTCGTTACGTGCACCTCCCTCCACTGTCAAAGGAGCAGCAGGTACAGCAGCTGGCAGCGAGGGGCTTCCTCCCTCCACCACAGGATGATTTTGCAGACCTCTGTAACCTCCCTGTCCTCAATGAGGATTCTATATTAAACAATCTTCGCACGCGCTTCTACAAGAAAAAGATTTACACCTATGCAGGCAGCATTCTTATTGCCATCAACCCTTTCAAGTTTCTGCCCATATACAACCCTAAGTATGTCAAGATGTACGAGAACCACCAGCTGGGCAAACTGGAGCCCCATATTTTTGCTATCGCAGACGTGGCGTACTACGCCATGCTCAGGAAAAGAGTCAACCAGTGCATTGTCATCTCTGGAGAGAGCGGCTCTGGCAAAACACAGAGCACCAACTTCCTCATTCACTGTCTGACTGCTCTCAGCCAAAAGGGTTATGCCAGCGGCGTCGAAAGAACTATCCTGGGTGCAGGGCCTGTACTGGAGGTAAGAGATTCTTTTATGAACTTTATATTTTCATTCAACAGTGACTCAGTTGGTAGAGCGTTGGCCTTTGAGCCTGAAGGTTGTGGGTTTGAGCCCACCACAAGACTTTCTCCACCGACTCCCACTGCTGTCGTCGTGTCCTTGGGCAAGACACTTAACCCTACTTTGCCTATCTGTGGCCTTACTTGCACGCAAAAGCCAGATCCCATCACACCTCTGAAGCTGTGCAGGGCAGGGCCTGGTTAGTACTGTGATGGGGCCTACATTCACCTACATTGCCAAGAATGAGTCTGAGGCAGCTGTGGCTACAGTAGTGGTTTATCACCACAGTGTATGGAGTGAATGGAGAATAACATGTAAAGCGTTTTGAGTGTCCAAAAAAGCGCGATTTAAAACCAATGCATTAATATTATTATTCCTGCTAGCACCCATTTAACACTTTCATTTGAAAAACATTTAAGCATTGCAACATTTTTATTTTCTTATACACCTCTTCTTCAGTTTGTGATGAGCTGTAGCTAGTTGCCATTGCCTGTCACTCTCAGACAGCAGCTTGACTGCAGGTTTATGTACTGCTACTTTGTTGTTCATTCCCTCAATGCTTTTCTCCTGCTAGTTTGCTCTAGAGCTACAAATGCAAAGGCAGACATTGAGATGCATTTAGCTTTTTACTGGACAATAGAGGAAGTCTATCATTAAGTCAAGGTATTTTTGTATTTTACAATTCCTTTTGTATTTAGCAGTGTTTGCTACTGTGTATATTACACATTGGGTGTTTCTACCACAGGCAACAGCTACATTTTTATGAGATTTGATCCTTTAAATCCTGAAAGCATAACAAAGATATATTTGAAGTTTTTTTTATAAAGCACAATTCATGCATTGCATCTCAAAGGTCTTTATAAAGACATAAAATCATACACATTTACAAACAAAACATGTGAGGTCAAACATTCATAAAATAAAAACACCAAATGTCTGAATTAAAACCTAATAAATAAAACCTAATAAACACAATTAAGACCAAACAATAATTGATATGAATTGTCTGTTCTATAATAATTATCACAACATATGAACAAAACCACAAATCACCTGTTAGCTTTGCTTGTCTGTGTAAGAAAAGGCCTGCGCAGAGCGGTTTACCCATGAACTGGTTTAACTGGTTAATCTGCTTGTTGCGTAGTTCTTTGGGAACTCCTGTTTTCTTAAGAATTGAATGGACAATTATACTCCCTTTGTAAGAATTACTTAGTAGAGCGATGTTGCAAATAGCAATGACCAATATCAGGTTTTTTTTCTTCTGTTTGCAAATTCTTTATTATTCATACTATTCCAATTGCTTCAATGCTTGTTCATCTAATATCATCTCTGAGAGGAAGTTCCTATCATCCGGAACTCTCTTTAACAGGAAGTAGCGACGACACGGGAAGTAACCACACTCCTTATAGTCGCCGTGACTTGAGCTTGCAGGGGCGTCGACAGACAAGAGTTGTATTGTAGTTCAGGAAGTGTAGAGGAGTAGCTGACCACTCCAACTCTTCCCACTGAATAAAGTAACGCACATGTGATTTGACCTTCAGACTTCTCCCAGATCTAGATGATAATAATAATATTAATATTATTATTAATAATAATAATAATATCAATATCAATATCAATAACAATAATAAAAAAAAAAATGATGATAATGTGTTGTATGTCTATGCGCTTTTCAAAGATGCGGCTGTATTAGAATGGTTGGCCACAATATCTAGTATCGATACGGCTGATAGCATTAGTGGTACTTTAAACGTAATGAAATTAAAGCGCAGAATAGAAACTACTACAAGTATACTGCCTTGTTGCCGATTTAATGTATATAACAGAGATTCAGATTCAGTTTATTTGCCATTTGCAGTAAAAACACCACATTGGAATACATTAGCAAAAAGTCTCCAGTGTGCACTGACATAAAACAACATTAAAAGACAGAAATAAAACAAATAAAACGGCAAAAAAATGTCACTGTGAAATCGATCGACTAAAACAGTTTCAAAACAAGTGCAAATCATTAAAGTGCTCTGTTCAAACTGATAACAGCTTGTGGATAAAAACTGTTAGCGTAACGAGATGTCCTGCATCTCAGAGAGCGATATCTTCTGCCAGAGGGAAGAAGCTGGAATATGGCTTTCCCAGGGTGGCCAGAAGAGTCATTAACAATCCTAAGAGCTTTGTTTAAAAGTCTGGATTTATAAAGAACCTCCAGAACAGGAAGCTCACAGCCCACGGTTCTCTTTGCAGAGCGGAGCACCTTGTTTAAAGCTCTTTTCTTTATCTGTGATGTTTCCAAACCACACAGACACAGAACCAACAAGTAAACTTTCAATGGTGCAGCGATAAAAGTTAAGCACAATCTTAGAGTTAGTGGTAAATTCTCTAAGTTTACGCAGAAAGTAGAGACGCCGACGAGCTTTCTTAACAACTCGGTCAGTGTTTTTAACCCATTTCAGGTCATTAGACAGAGTTAAACCCAGAAACTTACACTCCTCTACAATCTGCACCTGGGAGTTGTCGATTACGACAGGCAAATGAGAACTATTGCGACTGAAGTCGTAGACCAGTTCACATCTTTTCGATGCGTTCAACTGGAGGTTGTTAGTTTTACTCCACTGAACCACATTTTGTATCTCTGCTCTATAAGAGGATTCATCATTGTTACTGATGAGACCGATGATGGTGGTGTCATCAGCATATTTGATGATCAAGTTTGAGTCAGAGGAGGACACACAATCGTGAGTGTACGAAGTAAAAAGCAAAGGACTCAAAATACATCCCTGAGGAGAACCAGTGTTCACAGAAACATCAGTAAAACAGTCATTGATTTTCACTCTCTGAGATCTGTCAGTTAAAAAGCTAAAAATCCATTTACACATGGCAACACTTAAACCGAGAGACATGAGCTTTTCAATCAGTTTACCTGGGACAAGGCAGTTAAAAGCAGAGCTATAATGGATGAAAAGCATTCTTGCGACAGAAATACTAATGTCCAAGTGACTGTAGACAGAGTTCAGAGCAAAGGAGATGGCATCCTCCACACTCCTGTTCTGTCTGTAGCAAACTGGAGCGGGTCAACACTCACAGGGATCTGGCTCTTAATGAAGACCAGCACAAGCCGCTCAAAAGTTTTCATAAGAATAGACGTGAGGGCCACAGGACGATAGTCATTCAGGCATGTCACAGGAGTTTTCTTAGGAACTGGAATGATGGTCGACTCTTTAAAGCAGTTCGGCACAGTACAGTTCCTTAGCGACAGGTTGAAAATGTCTGTTAGCACAGGGGCAAGTTTCTCAGAGCACAGTTTCAGGACACGAGGAGGGATGCCGTCCTGGCCTGGCTTTCCGGACTATGGTCCTGGACAAGACACGCCTGACTTCCTCCTGAGTCACGGTGAAGGTACCTTGATTGAAACACTCAGGGAATACAGTAGGACAGGCATCAGCGGATTCAAAGCGACAGTAGAACGTGTTCAGCTCGTTTGGCAGAGCTTGGCCGACAGATGCAATTTTCCCAGCACTAGATTAGATGGATCTCTCCGGAAAATGTAAGGAAAGGGCTTACAAAGATCTGTTTTGATATTTATTGTGATACTTTTCTGCAAGAATATACGAATTGCCAAAATTATCATTATTAGCCATATTTCAAGCCAGTAGTAGGTCAGTAAGATTTTTAATGTGTCGTGGATAATTGTATAATTACAGCCGTTCTTTCAAAGAGATCCTAAATCTGCTGTTTTAACTCACAGAACTGATTCATTGTTAACCAAAACAGCGAATTACTGCTGAGGGGTTTAAGTGCAGTTAGTTTGTGTTGTGTGTTGCCAGTTGGGATTGCAGCCATGTGTCGATGAGGACAACTGCTTTCAGTCTCTGCCAGTGTCATGTGAGCTCACTAAAGCTCCCTCTCTAATGGAGAAAAACCACAATTGGTTGTTATTATTAGGGGACGGAATGCTGCTGAGTCTGTAAAGTGTGCTACAACTCCTATTTGTCATTTCTTGTTTTGTCCTTTTTTCTGCTTTTTGAGTTGGGAGTTTTTTAAGGGTTATTTGTGCTCCGTCTGTGGGAATTCTCAGTGGCAGTTGATGTACTTTGAGCCTTTTGTGAAAGAAAACTGGTGTGAGGTTTCCGCGCCTTGGCAGTGTGTGCTGGAAAACTGTTAAAAAGGGCTGTTTTTATGCTGAGAAATAAGGATGTATTGCAATATATACAGGTTCTTCTAAAGAAATTAGCATATTGAGATAAACTTCATTATTTTCTGTAATGTACTGATAAACAGTAGACTTTCATATATATTTTAGATTCATTACACACAACCGAAGTAGTTATAGCCTTTTATTGTTTTAATATTGATGATTTTGGCTAAAAAGTAAAGAAAAACCAAATATCCCTATTTAAAAAAAAAAGCATATTTCATCCGACCAATAAAAGAAAAGTGTTTTTAATACAAAAAATGTCAACCTTCATATAGTTATGTTCAGTTGTAAATTCACTCCATACTTTATCAGGAATCCTTTTGTAGAAATGAATGCTTCAATACGGCGTGGCATGGAGGCAATCAACCTGTGGCATTGCTGGTGTTATGAAGCCCCAGGATGTTTCGACAGTGGCCTTAAAGCTGCACTAAAGCCTAGTTTATACTCGCGCGGCGCGGAGCTTACGGAGGTGACGTGACGTCATTTGCGCAACGCGTTGGTCACCGCAAGGCCCTTACGTTGCCTGCCGCGCAGCAGCGAAATTTTCTAACTACGTAAGGGTCGCTGCAAGGAATCTCCGCTGTGATTGGTCCGTGTGTGTGTATTGGAAGGAAGCACGGAGCGGCTGCAGCAGGAGCATGGACGAGGCGCTATGGAGCAGAGAGCTTTGTGCTTCGAAGGAAAAGCAGTTTGGGCTCAGAGCCTGATATACAGGAGACTACATAACTTATAAACTATGCAGTCGTTTGTTTTGCACTGTTCCTGTCTTGTTTGAATCGTAGCTGCGTTTGTTGCTTTCCTCCTGCACTCGTAAATTGTTCATGTTTGTCTCAGATATTTACCACTATTATTGTTTTGCTGTTTGTGCTGAAAACTATTTAATAATATCTATGTTTCCAACAAGAACTGTGTCTTTATTCACAGCATCACAGTTGAAATGACTTATAAAATAATGAATCCATAAAACTATCACATAAACCTACAGTAGAAACACGTGTAATGAGCTCAAACAGCTTTGTTTGTTATTGTTGTTCTGAAGAGGACAAAGTAGCAGCGTAAATGGGACCGCTCCTGTGTGATCGCCCTTATGTGGTTTGTTGTGGGATTACAACATTCTCCTCAAAACTCCGTAAGGGGAACGCGCCAGTATAACATCAATTGTGCTTACGTTGGTCCACCGCAAACCGCTAACGTAAGCCACGCCGCGCAAGTATACACTAGGCTTAACTGACTTTGGGATTTTGAAGCAGCGGTCTCGCTGGCCTCGCTCTTTCTGCTCCCCTCCCCACACCCACGAAGCTATCGCCCCCCCACACACACCCACTGTTGTTGACGGAGCTAGCGTCTCCCAATATGGATAAATCCATGGATATGGATTTGCACGGATGACGTGACCATAGAACGATAGAACCGGGAAGCACGGAGGAACGACACTTTCTTTTGGATGGCTGTCTCGCTGTGTAAGCAGTAACCGGTGACGAAGACGAGGAAGCTTCAGGTTAGCTCCTCTGCTTGTTGTGCTAACTCAGCCGTCTATGCTAACGGACCTGTAGATTTCTCACGAAAGTGGGGGCTAGTGGTCCGCTGTGATTGGTCACAATCTGCGACCCGAAACACATTCTCTTCCTTGTTTCATCAAAACTCGATCTAAAATATAATGTCACGCCAGCACAAATCTGCGCTACTTATTCTTCAAAAGGACGTATATTCCAATGCACTACATGGACATGGATAGCATTTTTGTAATGAATACAAAAATAAAGTCAGTTAGTGCAGCTTTAAGTTCATCCACAGTGCTGGGTCTGGTGACTCAACTTCCTCTTCACAATATCTCACAGATTCTCTGTGGGGTTCAGGTCAGGAGAGTTGGCAGGCCAATTGAGTACAGTAATCCCACGGTCAGTAAACAATTTACCAGTGGTTTTGGCACTGAGCAGGTGCCAGGTCGTGCTGAAAAAGGAATTCATCTCTGTAAAGCTTTTCAGCAGATGAAAGCATGAAGTGCTCCAAAATCTCCTGATAGCCAGCTGCATAGACCCTGCCCTTGATAAAACACAGTGGACCACCACCAGCAGCTGACATGACACCCCATACTATCACTGACTGTGGGTACGTGACACTGGACTTCAGGCATTTTGGCATTTCCTTCTCCCCAGTCTTCCTCCACACTCTGGCACCTTGATTTCATCCAAATTATTTTTAGAAGGAGCTGTATTGTTATCAGCCCTTCCCACCCCTCTCATATCTCACTTTTTCCCCAATATTGTGATATTGTGTAGCCCTATTGACACTTCTTGACATAAATATGATTTGGTATTAACGTGTCTACAGTGCCTTGAACCTTTCAACATTTTGCCACATTTCAGGCTTCAAACATAAAGATAAAAATACTACATTTTTGTCAAGAATCAACAACAAGTGGGACACAATCGTGACGTGGAACGAAATGTATGGATATGGATGGATATCTTTGAGAAATGGCTTTCTTCTTGCCACTCTTCCATAAAGGCCAGATTTGTGCAGCGCACGACTGATTGTTGTCCTATGGACAGACTCTCCCACCTCAGCTGTAGTTATCTGCAGTTCATCCAGAATGATCATGGGCCTCTTGGCTGCATCTCTGATCAGTCTTCTCCTTGTTTGAGATGAAAGTTTGGAGGGACGGCCGGGTCTTGGTAGATTTGCAGTGGTCTGATACTCCTTCCATTTCAATATAATTGCTTGCACAGTGCTCCTTGAGATGTTTAAAGCTTGGGAAATCTTTTTGTATCCAAATCCGGCTTTAAACTTCTCCACAACAGTATCTCGGACCTGCCTGGTGTGTTCCTTTGTCTTCATGGTTCTCTCTGCGCTTTAAACAGAACCCTGAGACTATCAAAGAGCAGGTGCATTTATACGGAGACTTGATTACACACAAGTGCATTCTATTTATCATCATCAGTCATTTAGGACAACATTGGATCATTCAAAGATCCTCACTGAACTTCTGGAGTGAGTTTGCTGCACTGAAAGTAAAGGGGCCAAATAATATTGCACGCCCCCCTTTTCAGTTTTTTATTTGTTAAATGAATACATGGATAATTTAAAAGTTTAAATTATCCAATACATTTCGTTCCACTTCACGATTGTGTCCCACTTGTTGCGAATACTTTCGCAAGGCAATGTAATATGAAACAACGATCAGAAAATTGCTTGAAAACGTCAGTGTTTATTTTGCCACCTATCATCTTCAGCTGCATGTGATGCTGTATCACTTTTATTATTTGGATTATAGACCATGTGGGACCAAGTGTCTTTTTGGAGCATATACATCCTGAAGGAGATCTTTGATGGTTTTAGATCTACTACGTCCTACGATTTATGGATTTATGTCTTTAACCTTTTACCTCATTGTGAAACACATAATCACAAACATGAGTGTTACAAGAATCAAATAAAAAAGGTCACTGAAATTGCCCACCCCTATGAGTGTTGGTTTGTCACTTTTATTTCCACACAAGTCTAGAGTGCAGAGTGGAATTGTGGGCTTAATTAATTCATACTTCCTGGGTGCTTGCCTTCGTTTGCCTGTTGAGACGCACAGGTCGTAATTGGCTCTGGTTTTGTGTGTACTTGTTATGTACTGCATTTGTTAGTATAAAACATATTTATTATGAGTGATGATGGGTACATTTGTGATTTTAATTCCTCCTGGCAAACAATCTTTAATTTTTTCTTTCTTTTTTTATATTCTTGTTTTATGCTGAATGTCTTATGTTTTTCTTTTATGGCTTAGAGTATATGTAGAATAGATTATAGTACAATATACTCAACATCCATATAGCATCGCATTTCTCAAACGATTTCACTTGGGATTTTTATACACCTAATCCACTCCTTCCACATTTACCCCAAAGTGTTTTGTTTCTGGGTAAGGGATTATATGATTTGCTCTAGATTGTATTAATGCAGAAGAAAATAATTATTGTTTTTAGTCTTATAGATGCTTTCTGACAATTGGTAATAATTCACTACTTTCACTGTTTAGATTGAAGCCAGCTTTTTGTTTACAAAGCACACAAAGTAGACCACGTTTTGTGGTGGTCACAGCTTTGAAAACCGTTGGATCTCTTCCTCATACCTATTGGATGCTCCAGCCAATCAGGCGCTAGGCCGATGGGCATGTTTGAATACGAATGATGCTGTGACTTGTTTAAAATTCTCAGTATGGTGCTGTTGACCGTGCTCTGCTGTGTTTTCCCAGGGTTTCAGGCTGTAAAGGCCAAAATCCAGTGATTTGGCATCATTGTTGTTGAATTGGGAGCTTTTAATTTGTAATTCCTGTTGGGAAAAGGATTTTGTACTAAGCACATTGTGAAAACTATGCTAAAGTCTAAGATAAGTTTAGTTAGAAATTCTGAGCAAGCCTCCTGTTTTGAAGTCTATGACAATCATATTAAAGCATGATACACGTGGTTGAACATGAATCAAATCTTTTTCTGTATTACTGCAAACTCAATGAAAATGTTGCAACATTCTTTGAAAAGCTTTTTATTGTTATAGGTGATAGAAAAAATAGGTCAACAGATGCAGAGGAATCCCTCCGACAGCCTTCAGGCGGGTGTGTAAAGTTGTGCCCCCTAACTCTGATCAGGACTAACAGCACTGTATCAAATTCATCCTGCAACTGTCTGCACACACAATACAGGCCTATTTAACATGCACTGAGTCAAGCTCTCCTGTGGTGTCCTTTTGTTCGGAGCTGTATCAGTGGAACTGTAACCAGGCGAGCATGTGCATCAAACTGCTTTGCTGGACCAATGATAGTTGGAGGTTTGCTTAGCCTACAGCTCTGACTCTATTTATTGGCGGGATTTTTATGTGAAGTTCTGGAAAGGTACCCTTTTTTCAAAGTGACAATTAGTTGCATTTTTCTATATGTTTGTATCCAAACTCTCGTTTCAAACTCTTATCATCTCTGATTTGTACATGCTTCCTTTGCTTCTTGGTTTCAAGTATACATTCTCACAATGACGCAAATAAGCTTGAGTGAAGAGAAAGGAGGCAGAGATATGAGTACTTCAGTGCAGCCTTCATCTGAACCCTTTCCTCTTTTTTCAAGAAGATATTTTCATTGATATGGTCATTTGCCGTTGCTTTTGTTCTAAGGTTGTTGTAACACCATCTAATATGCTTCTTTTTTTTACCAGGCTTTTGGAAATGCCAAAACTGCTCACAACAACAACTCCAGCCGTTTTGGGAAATTCATCCAAGTCAATTACCTGGAGAGTGGAGTTGTCAGAGGGTGAGTAAGCACATTCATAAAGGTTTATAAACAGTTTATATTTTTAAAAACAGTAAGTCTTACTCATAGTCATGTGATTCATCCTCTACAGAACATAGACTGAAACTTGAGCTGACCTTCCTGTTTCTCATTCTCAGCCCTCTGACTGTAGCTGTGAGCGACAGTCTGGTGGTCAGTTGTCACTTTCTCAGCGTGATGGAGGGGGGGTCTTTTAAAGGGGAATATTGGGTTAAGGGGCCCACCTCATTTTGTGACCTCAGCTGGTGTTTGAGAGTTTGAACTTGCCCCAGCGTGATTAGTCCTAATGGCACCTGTTCAAATTGAGTTCCATTAGATTACTTTAACCCTACTCTAAGTGTGGTTTGAAATCCAAGCTACTATATGGACTATTTCATTATACTGTACATTTGCTCGTCAAGCTAGCATTTGCAGATTTTTTTTTCGGTAATATTGTAATGAAACCTGTTTGAGGGCGTGGCTGATTTTTGAAGAGCATCGATGCACAGTGTAAATGAACAAGACAATGCACAATGCAGCTGTCCAGTTAAAGCCATGTTAAAGGTTGGATCTTGTCTTTTAGAAAAATACCTGTAGCATTGGTTTTCTATCATCAGTTCTCTATTCTTGGTATGTCACACGGACCAGCGTCATTGTTGTTTATGACAAACGGGACAAAATGATAGTGACGACCTTGTAACTTTTGGTTTTCAATGCCATGATTGTTCTGGCTTAATGTTTGCCATATTATTTGATATCATGGGAGACATTCAGTTTCCCCCAGTATTTCTTTTATTACAACCATTTTTCTAAGTGATTGTAGCAGCCAGCCACCTGAAGGCAAAATCTCGCCTTTTCTGCCAACACATTTCCCCATACCTCTTCAGTGAAGAGATTCCTGATCGTTAATTGCTGTCTCTTTTTCCTTCCATTTGTCTGTAGAGCGGTGGTAGAAAAGTATCTTCTTGAGAAGTCACGTCTCGTCTCCAGAGAGAAGAATGAGAGGTAAGAAGCAACAGCTGTGGTCCAGACCTCTGACCTGCTAATCTGTTTAGGGTCTTTAAACCAAAATTAGACTTTCAGAATTTTTTTTTTTAACAAAATAATTATCTTCTGAATTACACACATTAATACATTACACATATTGATTACATAAAGTGTAATTGGTGTATGATGAGCACAGCTTTGTAGCAAAACAATTTTCCATTTACTTTTCTATTAATGATTGTCATATCCACAAAGACTCAATAATAAAGCTTCCTTGGTCTTCCATCAAGCACTTGGGTCTATGGTTCTTTAGTCTTCAAAGTTTCCTGTGTAGTTTCTTGTGGAAAATGCACTAACCTTCCAAAAATGTGGGTGTACAGTTGAGCCTGTTCCTGCAGTCTGAGCACAGCACAGCCAATACATTTTCTGTGTCTCGCCTGTGAGTAGGCCTTTGACGTCATTGTTTACTTGTGATAAACCTGGAAACTCATTACACAAGTTATTTTTACAATACCAGACGCACTGTGGACTGTCCTCCTACCTGCTAGATGATGTCTGATTGGAAAACTGATATAATTATTTGAATCGCTGTTTGCAGACCAGAAAATTGACAGCCTGTTGACTTTAATAATAAAGATAAACTCGTATGTCCTGTTGACCACATTGAACAAACAATTGATGATTATTGCAATCATTAACATGGAGAGCTTGCCTTACAGAATGCAGGTAAACGGCAGGGGAATTATTTCCTTTTTTACATACTTTTGTGACCATACCTGCATGTGAAAGCCTGATCCTGTCACATCTCAGAAGCTAAGAAGGACAGGGTCTGGTTTGTCCTGTGAACACACTTCTACAGTGGGCAAATAATGAAATGTGTTTTTTTCCAGGAATTACCATGTGTTTTACTACCTGCTGTTGGGCGCTTCAGAGGCGGAGAGGAAAGAGTTTAAATTGTTGCCTCCTGAAGAATTCTTCTACCTCAAGCAGGTAACATTTTGTTTCTCCTGTTGGTCTTGAAAAGTTGAATGAGATAGTTTCCAAGGTTCATTATAAGTTTTTAGAATTCATACTTTTCCATTTTAAAAAACATTCCACACTTTGTGTCCAGCAAAACTTTAAGATTGAAGATGAGGAAGACTTGCGGCATGACTTTGAACGACTTCAACAGGCAATGGAGATGGTGGGGTTTCTTCCACCAACCAAGAAACAGTGAGTGGTTAATTGAATAAAAACTACTCACCTGCTCTTCACCAATTATACATGTTCATTCCTATGGAGTCACGCAGGCCAAGTACCTAGTCAGTCAGATCTGTCAAGGAACACGACTACAATTCACTACAAGTTAATATGTAAAACCCACCCGACTAATTTGAAACAGTGGATTCACAGGACAATTTTGAAGACAATTTTGAAAACCTTTTTCTCTGAATTCAAAGAAATTGTTGCCCCTCTAATGGAGTAATAACATTTTCTATGTGTGTCGTCTGTTTATGGACAAAATTGCACAAAAGCAGGTGACATTTCAGTCAGTCATTCACACAAACCGCCACCAGGGAATAAGCTAGGGAAATACAGGGGGATTGTTTTACGTAAATGGATGATACAAGACTGGGGAATAGTCTTCAAAATGTAACATACATTATACAAACAGGTGATGAACTCTCCACCTGATTACATTGTGTCCCTTCAAGAGGCATGCTCTCCTGTATGTGGTGCTTTACAATGTCTCTATTCAGCCGCCTTGTCTTTGAACAGTGAAAGCAGAAGACACACCTTTCCAAGATCGGTCTATTCTTTCTCTTGTATCTTATGACATAATTGTTGTTGCAGGATCTTCTCCGTTCTTTCAGCCATTTTATATCTGGGGAACGTGACCTACATCCAGAAGTCAAACGGCCGGGATGAGGGTTTGGAAGTGGGGCCTCCTGAGGTGTTGGCCACCCTGTCTGACCTACTGAAGGTGACGCCCAAGTCCTTAGAGCATAGGCTGAATACAGGGATAAGTAATATTTAATTGATGATTTGTTTTAGGTCAAGGAGGAATTGCTGGTGGAAGCACTGACCAAAAGGAAAACGGTCACTGTCAATGATAAGTTGATCCTCTCCTACAGCCATTCAGAGGTAAACAAGTTATTTTCATCTAGCGTCACATACACATAAGTCAAACTCAGAAAATTAGAAAACGCTCAATACCAGCAAAGTGACATATGTCAAGCCTATGTTGTTATAATATGATGAATGTGGCTTACAGTCTATTTTCAAAGATTTCTAATTTTCTAGAAATGCAATTACAGAAGTAAATGAACTTTTGAAGGGTATTCTAATTTTGCGTAACCTAAATGCTCAATGCTGAAACCAGTCCATAATACTGTTCTACTATTGATCATAGACAGCTTCTAACATCACTGCAGCTGTTTTAATTCAATGGCTAAAGGTGGTGGGTGTTGCGGCGATCCAGACGCACCACATCGAGGCGCACAAATCAAGCGCACCTCACAGCAGGAGACTCGCTCCTCCCAGTCGGCCCCTTCAATGGCCGTTGTGGGTGGTGCCCTCTTCTTTCATGAATGATTGTTTGAACGTGTGTGTGAATGAATGAACATATCTCTTGCTCACTGCCACAAAAATAAAATTATAAGAAAATAAGAAAAGACACTTCTGGCCTTCTGTTCGCCCGTAATTCTGGTTATTATTGCAAAAGGGGGGTTGTTTGGAATCATATAAGCATCTCCTTTGTCCAAAACCTTTTCAAACGGTTGACCTTCTGATATAATTAAAATGCTCTTTTTTGTCTTCGGACCTCAGGCCATCACTGCTAGAGACTCTATGGCTAAGTCGCTGTACAGTGCTCTGTTCGACTGGATTGTTCTTCGCATTAATCACGCTCTACTCAACAAAAAAGACATGGAGGAATCTGTTCCGGTAAATTACCTCAAAACAGACTATATCCATAATGTAGCACAGAAGCACATCAAACTATTTATCTTTCCACCAGTGCTTGTCCATTGGAGTTTTGGACATTTTTGGCTTTGAGGACTTTGAGAAGAACAGCTTTGAACAGTTTTGTATCAACTACGCAAATGAACAGTTGCAGTATTACTTCAACCATCACATCTTCAATCTGGAGCAGGTAACACATTTGCCACTTGTATCATTTATACAAATAAAAAATTATGTTTTAAAATGTGTCACAATGGTATTTCTGGCAATTATTTGAGCTATTATTCTTCGGTACCTAACGTTTTTGACAGAAAGGTCTCGTGAAAGTAAAATGTTGCAAACAAATAATTTGGGCTGAGAGCTGATTGGTCCTCTTTCTGTCAAGAAACTGATCTAAACATGTAACAGAGGAACTGAAATTTTGCAATTCACAGACCCAAACTGCGTGGCAAGGAATAGATCGATGGAATTAATTACATTGTGCATTTTTTTCGTTTGAGTAAGGTTCCTTCAGGTTAATTCATGTTTGGCTAGAAGATTCATATTGATACATAATATTGATTTATAATATTTGTACGAAATCTTTACAGAATTAGGCATTCCTTATCTTCCCTGTGATTAGTGCAATCCTGCCCAATTGTGTGTGTATTTTTTCCAAATATTTGTCTTGTAAAATCCAGGAGGAATACCAAGCAGAGGGCATCACCTGGCACAACATTGACTACACAGATAATGTGGGCTGTATTCACCTCATCAGTAAGAAGCCCACCGGTCTGCTTTACTTGCTGGACGAGGAGAGCAAGTATGTCGACAATATTCACACAACTTTCATACAAATATTATAATATTTCTACATTCCTGTGTTTCAGCTTTCCACATGCCACCGAAGAAACATTATTGGCCAAATTTAAGCAGCAGCATCAGGGAAACAAGTATTTTGTGCCCACACCTGTTATGGAACCTGCGTTTGTCATTCAACACTTTGCTGGGAGAGTGAAATACAAGATAAAGGTGGCACAGTTATCACTATAAAGAGTTTTGGTCAATTTTCTTTTGTATACTAAATAATTTTGTCTTGTGGCAGGACTTTCGTGAAAAGAACACAGATCACATGCGACCAGACATTGTGGCCTTGTTGAGAAGCAGTGATCGTTCGTACATCCGTCAGCTGATTGGCATGGACCCTGTGGCCATGTTTCGCTGGGGCATCTTGCGGGCCACCGTCCGCGGCCTTGCTGCTTTTAATGAAGCTGGACGCACGTGGGCCGCCAAGACTGCAGGTACTCATTGCATTTGAGATGACACAGCCAATGTGCTTGATTTCAGGTAGGCCTAGGGTTTCTACCTTGTGAATTTTTTATATCATAATCTTAATTTTGGTAGAATATCGAGACCTGAATTTGAATTGAAAGATATACATGTGGTAGCATTGCGTAAGGGCTATATAGTTTGTTCAACTCATTCAAAAAAGCAGTCGATGTGAGGACGCATGAGTGAGTAGAGGTCAAATGTAGTTATTTAAAAAAAATAAAAATGTATATATAATAAGTAGACATTTTATACATTTTATAAAATAAAAATGTATATATATTAAGTAGATAACCCCCCCCCGGATTAGAAGGCCTTTTCAGATCTTATTAGTCGACAAATTATTATACAATATAGTTGTATGAGGGAGGGGTCGGAACCAAATAAGTGACTGCTTCGTCCCTTGGGGCCATAGCACAGCCAGAGCCATGGCGTGGTGAATATTGAAAATGACTCAAATGTGCAAGAAAATGGGAAAATAATTATTACACTGTTTAAAAAATCTTAAAGCTGGGGCACTTAATTTTTTTCATAAATCATACATGTCAACAGAAAGACTCTTGTAAAAGTAAAAATGTGTCAAAAAATCAGACCAAAACGTGCTGTCGGCCTATTAGAAAGCATGTTATTCTTTTAATCTTTGCTTAGTGCTGAGAGCTGAATGGTTAAGTTCTTTTTCATTATGCTGTCTGAAAAAAAAAAAGAAGTGGCCGAGACCAAAAATAGTTTTATTTTCTGTGGTGTGAAAGTCGGGGACCCCAGCTTTAAGTCAAGGTTACATTATACACCAGGATTGATACTGTACGTATTGACTGGCATTTTGGTTTGCAAGATTTTGTTACTCCCTTTATGGTCAGCAAGTGATGTCCTTTGTTGACTACAGCCCTCTACAGTCTGTACTTTGTTCATTTTCTTCTTTGGATAATAGGTATCGTCCGACCTGCATCCAGAACTCCTCTTGGAGAGCTCCAGCGATCCAATACTCCGATTGAACGAATGTACAAGTAAGTGATGTAAGCTTTCATACATGGGTAATTACTCCTTTGCTTTGAGGATTGCCATGTAAAGCGGCCTGTGTTGATATTAGTTGTGAAGTGCATCATCTTCAACACACTTCCAACTTTTCTTGTGGCTTCGGATGTTATCTTTTTCTTTTCAGAAAGTTTAGTTAAAAGCAGTTCAGCTTTCCATAGATTGGTCCTGCACTTTCCCCTCTGCTCTTTGGTGACCCCAGTGTGTGTGGTTTCTCCTCTTCCTCTCCCTTTCACAGACGAGCGTCTATGCTCGATTTTTGCTTTGATCACTCTGAGGAGCGCCCTCTAGAGGCCTTCGAGGACATCTTTGCTAGCTATGAGAATAAGAAGTAAGTACTCTAAATTCATGCCCAAATAAACAACATGAACAAAGGGGCCAGACAGAAGAAAACTTTTTTCTTTAATTCTTTTATAAATATTTTATCTACAAAGGTCTGTTTAGAATTCATAATAGTGTTGAAATGATTGTATGATAAAAATGGCTCTAACTCACCAGCTAGATACTGTACAGGTAACAGCAATTTTCTATTGCTTATTATAAAAACATTTAGTTCAAGATGCATGTTCTCTTCTGTTTGGCCTCTGCGTTTCGTTGTTAATAAGGGGAAGTATTGGCAAATTTGCATGAATAAGCAGTGAGACCAAATTGTCTCCCTATTAACCTCACCAATTCTATGTCAAACTCGGGTGTCAAATATTTTAAACAAAACAAATCAGTGATAGAAAGGCACAATTAACAGCTTACAGTCTCACAGCAGATGACTGGCCCAGCATGGAAAGAGATCGTTAATGAGACTGGATTTTCTCTCTGCATGTTTACTACCTCCAAACAGGGAACAAGGGTGTGAAAACAGCCTTGTGAAGTGGCTTTCTGTGTTTGTGTGTGTTTTCAGTCCTTGGAGGGATAAAGCAGGATGGTTGGGTGGTCACATGTATCTAGTGGCTTATCTCAAATAAACAATGGTATAAGATGGAGTTTCTGGATAAATCCTCACGGAGGAGTGAAGTAAGCAAGCCCTTTGATAGAAGACCCCCAACTATCTTGCACTATGTGTTTGTTTGGGTTATAACAATAGTGGTGGAATACTTTTCTCCAAAATGACGCTTCTCTCTAGACAACAATTTATCTTTTTCTTCTTGACTCTTTATCTTTTTTTGGGTTGAATTAATGAATCGATCATGTCCCCCTGCCCTTTCTCCCCCGGTTTGCTCCCAAATCCCTCCCATGTTTTATGTGGTTCACCCAGAGACATGCATGCACAGATCATCAGTTCCATTAAGAACTTGCAGCTGGATGCTGAAGATCCTGGAAAGCTACTGCAGTCCTGGGGTCGCCTCCGTTTCCCCCGGCACGTTCTCCAGTGAGTCTGCAGTCAGACTTCTGACTGGCTTGGACTAAAAACCCTCCCATTAATGCTTCTCATTTCAAACAGTCCATTGCTGTAGAATATGCACTAGAAGACAATGCATTAGAAGCTTGGTTACATAGTTTTTTTAAGCTTCAAATACATGCTGCATGACCATTACCATAAGTGTACTGGGCATGTACATTCCTCTACACATGAAGAATACAGTCGTTCAGCATGTCTCTTTTATCACCTGTTTCTGTTAGAATTTTAAAAAAAGCTATTTAGAACCCTTTAGTTGAGCACGTCTTGTTGATCTGCGAGGCCGGATTGATGCGTTACATTTCTGCCTTAGTCTCATCTTTGCTCTTATGTCTTTCTGTCCTCTCTTGCCCACATGAGCACTTGAGCCCCTGAGTTATTGACTGACAAAGCATGAAGACCACCATCGTCTGTACTAATCAGGCTTTTCCATCGCCGTTCTCTCAAAAATGTCATATTTTTGCATACTAAACTTTTTATTTCACATTTTTGTAGGAAGAATAAAAACACAAAGCAAAAGCAGATAATACCCAAGGTGAGTTGTTCTTGTTAATGAGTGAAGTTCCATATTTATAATTTTCGTTGTCTTTTCTGTCGATCAGAGATTGTTGGATTCTCGCTCTCTGAAGTTCATTGTAAGTCTGACGCTACACGATCGGACTACCAAATCTCTACTTCATATCAACAAAAAGAAGAAGCCTCCAAGTATCAGTGCCCAGTTTCAGGTATTTACTATTTCTTTATGAAGAAAACTAGTATTTTAAAGCAAACGTACATTATTTATCTTCCATTTTTATCTCACATTTATTATCCCAGACATCTTTGACAAAGCTTCTGGAGACACTGAACAGAGCTGAACCATACTTCATTCGCTGTATTCGCTCCAATGCAGAAAAGGTAATATACTATAAATATATAAACATATATATACTGCTAATACCTTATTGAATCTATAAATATGTGTTGTACATGCAGAAAGAGATGCATCTTGATGAAACCTTGGTGGTACAGCAGCTGCGATACACAGGAATGCTGGAGACCGTTCGCATCCGAAGGTCGGGGTATGGAGCCAAGTATACATTCCAGGTAAGACTAACAGTACTCACAAAATGATTATACTGTAATGATTGATTTGATTGTTTAATCAAAACTGAAGAAAATCTACCAAATATATATATATTTTAAAACATGCATACAATATAAGATTCATATTCCTGCATTTATAGTTTTTTTCATATTTATTGATCTTCATACCCCAGGCAAAAAAGCCCCTCAGAGTTGTGGAAAGCAGATTTAACATGCGCTGTCCCAGTCAAATAATAAAACTATAATAAAATGAATTTATGAACATATAACAAGTGTGCATAGAAATGACTGACAAATACAATGTAACTATTTCTCAAAATTATATTTGAGATATACCAGTATACTAACATGTTCTCTGGTTTTCATGAAGGAGTTCTTCACGCAGTTCAGAGTTTTGTTACCGAAGAAGGCCACCGTATCAAAAGGAGAGATCTCTGCCCTGCTTCAAAAGATGGGTCTGGATCCCACCACTTACCAGATTGGAAAAACAAAGGTTGAATATTACATCTGCTGATAATAAAAAATTTCAGTTTTCAAAAATCCTTTGTTAACGCCACATCCATTTGAATTCTCTTTAGGTGTTTTTGAAAGAGCTGGAACGACAACAACTTCAGGATACACTTCACAAAGACGTCATGCGCAAGATCCTCTTCCTACAGCGCTGGGTCAAAGCCCGACTGCAAAGAAAAGACTTTTTAGATATGAGACACGCCGCTGTTGTAATACAGGTTAGTTGAGTCAAATTCTGACAAACCGTGACTACATATGATCATTTGAGGGATTACACATGTTTGTCTTCAGCGATCTTGGCGGAGGTACTGTGAAGAAGAGCGGCGGCGATGTGCAGCCACCACTATCCAGGCTTTGTGGAGGGGGCACTTGCAGAGGAGAGCGTACAGACGTCAGCTGAAAGGGGCCACCAAAATACAAGCGCTTGTCAGGGGTCACTCTGCACGCAGAAGGTGATTCTTATTTGATTCTGTTTATTTGCTATTTGCAGTAAAACCACTTTGGAATACATGTGCAAAAGTCCTTAGTGTGCACCAGACAAGCAACTAGACAACTACAATTTCAATAACATGTGCACGATCATTAAAGTGATTTGTTCAGACTGATTACAACTTGTGGAAAAGAAACTTGTTCACATATCAAGATGTTCTGCAGCTCTGAAAACTATGGCGCTGTTTATTACGACAGTAAAACATTAGAGTTGGGTTTAGGTTCGGCCTCCTGTTTGCATGAAGACAATATTTCAATGGGGTGAAAACGCAAGCATTGAGAAATAGCCTCCAGAGTGGAACAGAACAGAACAGATACACTGCTCAGCAAAGGGCTGTTTCACAGCAGTGTGAAGAAAAAGGTGTGAAGTGCTAAGACCTCTTCACCGGCGGGTCAACTAATGCTACGTGTGCTTCAAGCATTACACGGAGGAGAATTCTACTCCTTCGTTGGTCCAATCAAAACCTCGCAAAGCTCTAGTTTCAGTTTCCAATTTTGCTGCTGCTGTTAAATGCAGAACAATGTTGGTGCATTTGTCTTTGCAGCGTCCTGAGGAGGATGTTGTTGAAGAAGTGGTAACGTTCCACTGCCCACTACTGGCCAGGTGCTCGTACATTGGTTTCAGGAGCCTGGTCGTTTTTGCACATTGTGGTTTTATGGACATACCGTAGATGAAAGTATACTATAGTGATTATCTCAAACTTTAACGGCAAAAAACAAAAACAGGATACAAAAATAAACAGCAATGCAGTTTTTCTAGTGATCCCATTTTATTCATTTTAATACAAATTCTTTATATACAGTATGTATTTAACTGTAATTTCCCCAATATGGGATATTATTCATTTATTTGGGGGCACCTGCATGTGAAAGCCAGACCTCTGAACCTAATTGCATTTGTTCTCCAGGTGCCAATCCATGCGGGAAGAGAAACGCAAAGAGGAGGAGGAGGAGAGGGAGGAACAGAGACGACTGGAGGAAGAGGAACGAAAGCAGAGAGAGGAAGAGGAGGAGAGGAGGAGGGTAGAAGAAGAAGAGGCTCTGAGACAAGCTGCTGAGGAGGAGGAGGAACGCAGAAGAGCTGAGGAGGAACAGGAGATGCACAGAAGAGCCCAAGCTGAACTAGAATGTAAACAGCTTGAGGAAGACGAGCAAAGACAAAGATGTGAGCCTCAAACTAGAGATGATCCAGACATAGAGCTGGTGACTGACGAGGCTCTGGACGAGACACAATACCCTATCAAGGACGTAGACGATGAAGAGCCTTTCACCTGCCCATCAGAGGAGGAGGTGCCATTATCCAGTGACGTGACTGAGATCAAAGATACAGAAGCTGAGGCCGGACTTCAGCCTCAGGACGAGGAGGACAGTGAGGAGAACAAGGAAACACAAGATGTAGCATCCTCGGCAGCGGACCAGCCCCACCCTCAAGTGCCTTCTGTTTCCTTACCTGCTGACAATACACAAATGAAGTTCCCTGATGCTAACAAAAATCATTCAGCAATTCAGGAGAAGAGGGAGAAGAGGAGAAAAAGGGGTCTTGAACATAATCGTAGAGAGACTGAACGAGCAGCTGCCTCCTCATCACCACCTGCCACTACAGCCCCAAATGTCAAAACTCCAGAGGCCTCTAAACCCAGAGAGCGATTTGACAGCAAAGAAATAGACCAGTATACGTTTGTTGTTCAGAAAATAAAAGAAGAGAAAGGTGGTAAGAGAGAGGAAAAAACGTCACCTCCACAAGTTCCTCCAGTTCGACCATCCACCTTGCTCCTGCAGTCCCTTGACCAGGACAGAAATGGTGAAGGAGCTGCAGTCATTCACCTACAGCGACGTCCCGGGGCGATAAAAGAAAAACCGGACAAATGGAAAAGCAAAAGGACTGAAAGCCATGACATTGTGACGCCTCCAGCAGGAAGAAATGGGGCTATGAATTTACAATTGTAAGTTTCATTAATGGAAAAATAATCTGAACCTATTCTGATTCTTATGTTGTATTGTATTTAGGGCGACAGTAGCTCAGTTGGTAGAGCATTGGCCTTTGAGCCAGAGGGTTCGAGCCCGACCCTCACCATCGACTCCCACTGTCTGCTGCCGTTGTGTCCTTAGGCAAGACACTTCACCCCCATTGCCTAGAATGAGTCTGGTGTGTGTGTGAATGGTTGGTAGTGGTCGGAGGGGCCGATGGCACAGACTGGTTGCCTCGCTTCTGTCAGTGTGCCCCAGGGCAGCTGTGGCTACAGTAGTAGTTTATCACCACTGTGTTTGGAGTGAAAGAATAATGACATGTAAAGCGTCTTTGAGTGTCCAGAAAAGCGCTGTATAAAACCGATGCATTATTATTATTGTTATTATTTCAGTTTGAGGGAGATCATTATTTGATATTGAATCGGCCATATTATACTTATGTCTGATAGTACTTTCTGCTGGCCAACATCATGAACGATATAATTAGACTATAATGCCATTATAGTCTAATTAAACGCATGAATTAGACTATAATTAATGCCATTAGATCTGGTCTAAATAATGGCAAATCTTCTATGTACTAACAAAGAAGATTTGGAACTTTCGATTGGCCCAGGAATGACAGAATTTAGTTCTGGTTTTGACACATTTTTAAAGTTGGCTGCAATGTTAAACTGCAGGCTTTTCTTTTCACTTCTTTAGAAATAATGGTTTTAGATAATGGACTAGAGGTCAGGACCTAGGAGGCCAATGCTGGGAACATACTGACTTTATTGTTTTTACTGTCCTTAAATCTGTATGTGCTGAAAGAAAAGAAAAACCAATAAAAATATTTAAATATGAAAAAAAAAAGCAATTTAAATGGGTTAGCATCAATGAACATGTACGTCATTATTCACCCTCTGGACTGGATTCTATATTTTACTTACAATGGTAACAACTGTCGCCAATATTATTTTCTTTATATCTGTGTTCCCAGTTCTCCAAGTTCAGAAGCACCTGGTGGGTTGTCTCCGCGTGAGGTAATGATCTTTAATACTAATGAAACATTTGTTGTTTGAAACACCGCATTATAAGCTTTGAAATATTTTGGTTTGTATAGTTTAGTCACCCAGACAGCCATACTGAACGCTCAAGCTCAATTGGAAGCTCATTTAGACGGCGGCACCAGGACTCTGCTCACCAGGACCCATCCCAGCCAGTTCCCTCTACACCAGACAGGTACCAGCCTATGAGTAGTACACATCCATCTTTTAATTTTTTTAACTTAATATCAATGAATATTCATAATAATAAATATGATGATTGTGTGGTTTTCAGGTCAGGTGGCTTTTTCAGCAAGATTTTGAAGAAACGTCCCCAGAGAGAACAGACACCAGATGATGGAGAAATTACACCAAGTTTCAGTGAGAAGTCATTTGGAGAAGGTATGCACGTCTTTAATATAAAATTAAATTCCAAATCACAAAGGCTTTGAATACAATAAAGCCTTACACTTACAGTACCTTACTCTTGTACGTTTGTGGTCGTAACATGACAAAATATGCATGTTTCGATTTTTTACTGATGGACCACAGCAAAGTAACAGACAACTATGATCTGAAAGAAAATCTATGCAAAAAATGTTTTATTAAAAAAATAAAATAAAGTTTGTGGTTGTAACATGACATAATGTAGAAGAGTTCACGCTGTCCAGACACTGGAGTAACAAATCTCCTTTTGAACAACAGGGTTTTCAGCTCGCCCCCTGCCTCAGCCACACACAGACCGCCCAGGTAAAAGTTTAGGCCGCAATCCCACCATAAAGATCAGCCGTGCCACCAGAGTGTCTGAGCAGTGGAACGCCTCTCTGGACCGAGAAATCACCAACGCCAACGAACTGCGCCACCTGGATGAATTCTTAGGCAATCAGGTATTTTCCTTCTTCAGATAATGTTTTTATTTAACTATACACATTAAACATGCCTTTTTTGTAATGCAGGTAAATGACTTCCGCTCCAGAGGGAAGTCTCTGTCTGCCACTGAAGCAATCTTTGTAACCGCCACAATGCAATTCAGAGATAACATTAAAGCTATGTATTCCCTTTCGGTAAGTCTCTTTTAGGGAAAAACTCAATTCACAAGATACTATATGGTTATTACCGTAATTATGTTTTCATGCCCAAATAGAAACCCACGATTGGTTACAAGGACTTGATGACAAGCTATAAAAACAAAGTGTTTCACCTGGCGGATGACAAGCAGAAGGCAGAAGTGCAGCTTGTGGTGAACCTGTTCCAGTCAGTACTGGATGGCTTTATCAGAGGAGAGATGAAGAAGGAGGAGGCAGAGGCAGAGCCAGTCAAGGTGAGCCCTCACATGCACCCAAAGGCTTTAGTATGTTTGTTTGTACTATGAAATTGTGTTTGCGCAAGTTGGAATGAAAGAATTTATTAAACAGACTTAATATAATATAAAATGTACAGGACGTTTATGATTGCAAACACCCCCTCACCCATTCAACACAAACAGTACGATACAAAACAATACAGTATAACACATGACAATATTATAGTGAACAGAACAGTACAAACAGTGACACAACATAATACCTCAGATATGAGACACACACATTCAGATAAGACACAGGCCCAAACGCTCTCTGACCCTACCCCTCTACCGTTACGCTGTGCTGAGGGCATCACTCGTTAATCAACCTTTATTTGTAGAACGCTTTTCTAACACAAGGTAGCGCAAAGTGCCTCACAACCCCATCACATAAGGAATTACATCATGACCATTAGTACAAAAATTAAGATAACGCATGGTATTAAAGACCTAGAAAATAAAATCACACAGGTAATTGAAAACAAACATTAAAATCTCACAAGGTATTGAATTGTCTTTAGAATTGTTTTTAGTATCCCCAGTGTTTCCTTTGGAGGGGCCCTCTGTACTGGGAGCAGTGATCGGCTGTGTCTGTGGGGGTCTGGCTCTTGGACCTGGTGGAGGTCTGGATCCTTGGCTTCTTGTCTCCTCTGGGTCTTTTGTCGTCCCCTGTGGCTACGGGCTGCTCTCTGCTCCTGGTGCAGACGGCTCTTTGGATGGCGCTTCTTAAGCTGGTTACATCTGCACCGTGTGCACGTCTGGGTGTGCGCTTCCACGTCTGCGCGTGCGTTCCTGATAATATATGTGGTTTGGGTGGGTTTGTTGGGAGGAGGGGTAATGGGTCGGCAGGATTGTTTTTAACCAAACTGTAAAGCACTTTGTCTTGCATCTTCTGTTTGAAAAGCACTTTATAAATACAATTTGATTGAAATCATAAATAACCACTGTGCATTAAAAAGAGCAAAGATACAATCCTGTGCACAGGAAAACAGAACTGTCTTCAACCCGGTTTTTTCAGACTAGACACCTGTCTCACATTCTCAGGAAGACTGTTCCGGATTTTAGCTGCATTAATCTGAAACGCTTCCTCCCCATGTTTAATCCTGACCCTGGCCACCAACAGGAGTGTGCTCCTCAGAGTTCGGGCTGGTTCATATGGCTTATCTTTGAAGATCTCCTAATCAACCTGGAGTTCTCATTTTTAAACCGTTTACAATTCAACAGTTTTTTTTAAATATGGAAACAGGTCTGTTAAAATGCATTTATTAAATTCTTCTTTTATTTTCTTAGCCAAAAGCTAGAAAAAAACGACGAAAAAAGGATAAAAGCGTAAGTGAAGTTGACCGTGAATTTGCTCTGTTTTGATTTGTTTGTTTTACTGTTTAATAATGCTGTCTTTATTAAACAGATGGAAAGCCCCTTGGATCATGTTTTTGTTAACTATCAGGTCAACATTGTGCAATCTTGTGACCAGTGTACGTCATACATCTGGGGCATGGAGAAGGCCTATATGTGCAGCAGTAAGTACACAACATGTTTTATTTATTTATTTTTGGTATTTATATATTGTGTTTTGTATCAGGTTGTAAAATGGTGTGCCACAAAAAGTGTCTCAACAAAATAATCACTGACTGTAACACGTTCTGTGCCAAAAAGGTTTGTATGTCTGGATCCATTGTGCTGATATGATTTTGCTCTTGCTAATTATGTCTGATCCTTCCTCAGGGGGACGAGGAGTCTGGTGGGCTGCACTTTGGCGTCCATGTGGGCCGCCTAGTGAACGATAAAAGCCCTGTGCCAATGGTGCTGGAGATGATGTTGGAGCATGTGGAGATGCATGGTCTGTACACGGAAGGAATCTACCGCAAATCAGGCTCTGCCAACCGAATGAAAGAGCTGCACCAGCGACTTGAGACAGGTGAACGCTGTTTATCACACCTCTCAGAGCTTGTGTTAGAGCATATACTGAAGATGGACAATGCAAATCCCCTAGCTTAATGAAGCCCAATAGGGCTTTTTCTCTTGACTATGACTTTTATTGAAAAGTAAACTCCAGCTCTACAACCATTTGTGGCACACTCACAATTTTGGTTTTTAAAAATAAAAAGCTAGCGTGTAGTGCAAGCGGGGACAGACTTCCGCGGCTCTTGGTGACTAGGTCGTTGCTACTAACAAAATGCATACATTTGGCCCCACATTGCCGCTCAAGTAGGCAAACACTATGGGGGATGTCAGCACTTCGTTAATCCACTCTTAGTCTACATGTATGAGAGTTGTCTTAGGCCCCGTTTTCCAAAAAAGACCAGGCTCCTTAATCGAAGTGCACAGCCTCTACACCACAACGGAAAACAAGTTCTAGCGCCTGGCCAGTAGTGGGCAGTGGAACTTTACAACACGACACACGCGACCCTGAGCAGTATAATCATTTCCTCAACAACGTCCTCCACAGGCCACGTCAAAGATGTGATAAAATGATTCATTTTTTCACATGCATTTAACAGCAGGAACGAAAATGGAAACTGAAACAAGAGCTTCCAAGGTGTTGTTTGGATGGAAGAAGTAGAATTGCTCCTCCGTGTAACGCTCAAAGCACATGTAGCATCAGTTGATCCGCCGCCATAGTTGTTGAAATTCTATTTCATCCCTCCGGACCACCAGAGGGCGATGCATAGCACTGAATGTTCCCTTTGCACATGCGCAGGGAACATTCAGTGATATGCTCCGCCCTCTGGCATTCATCCGAGATTCAATAGAACCGTGGTTACATACGTAGCCTTCGTTTCTTCTCGGCTTCTGCGCATGTCCAAATGTAGCCAGAGAATTCACACCTTTTTCTTGATGTGCCCGTGAAACATCCCGCAACACATCTGTTCTGTTCCAGGCTATTTCTCAATTCTTGTGTTTTCACCTGAAACGCTGTCTTCATGTAAACAAAATGCCAAACCGATACCCACCGTCTCCGTGTAATCATCACATCAAGCCCAAATACTGTCTGACCCTACTTCTCTGACCCTTATAGATCCTCACCTGGTTTGCCTTGAGGAGTACCCCATCCACACTGTGACCGGGCTGGTGAAGCAGTGGCTGAGAGAGCTCCCAGACCCACTCATGACCTTCACCCATTATAATGACTTTCTGCATGCAGTCGGTTAGTTAAGTGTCTTACTCTTGGCCATATCTAGAGATGTGGTATACAATTTATTGACTTTTGAATGCATTTCTGACATATATATGTTGTGTTCTATTTAGAACTACCAGAAAAGCAAGAACAACTTCATACAATTTACAAAGAGTTAGAGGAGCTTCCTACAGCAAACTTCAATACTCTAGAGAGGCTTGTTTTTCATCTGGTCAGGTTTGTATTTTTTTTTTTTTTTTTTTTTTTTTTTTTATGCTGTCATATGTAGGCATAAATAACAGTTTTCTATTTGCACAAATGATCTTTGTTATTGTCTGTTTAATAAACATATAGTTAAAATGTTAAACAATTTATTCCTATACCAGATTGTAGCCATGTCTTATTGGGGATAAGGCCAGCCACAAGTCATAAAACTGACAATCTAGAAGTCAAGAAATGACATAAAAACAACCACTAAAACCATTGAAAGTCATGTAAATCCACCATGTTTTCTGCACGTTTTAAAGTTATTTATTTAGTTGAATAATATTCATCTGTTTTTATTCAAACGTGTGTGGACAAACAAACGATGAAAAACAACAACATACAGTTAAATTGCAGTTAAAGCAGACACAACATTTATTTCTGTAATTCAACTTATTGTATGAAACTTATGATATGTAACTAATATATTATATTTGGGGTTTTTACATCATTATTAAGTCATAAATTAGTTTCACTTTGTAAGTTGACATGAACAAATACTGTACATTTACTTTTGAATGAGTTTCCCCTGTATACTAATATTCATAAAATTGGCAAAACACTGGCACACCCTGAATATGAGCACGTTCCCTTTATCAATATATTTAGTTTTTTGTTATTTATTTATTGTGGATGGCCCCTTGAGATGAATCATCTCTTTTTCGAGCTTTTTCTGAGCTTATATAACCCGCGGTTATATAAGCTCAAACATAAGTCTGCGTGTACAATCAGTGACTCTCAATTGTTGATTATTTTGATTTCATGTCTTCTCTTCAGAGTCTGTAAAGAAGAGCCACACAACCGCATGTCTCCCAACTCCTTGGCTATAGTCTTTGCCCCATGTATCCTGCGCTGCCCTGACAGTGCGGATCCACTTCTTAGCATGAAGGATGTTGCCAAGACAACCATGTAAGTGCTCATTTACCACCACTACTACTACAGCCCGGACCCGTTTATAGCAGAAATGATGTGACCTCTTCTTCATTAAGGTGTGTGGAGATGCTTATCACTGAGCAGATTCGACGTTACAATGAGAAGATGGAAGAAATTGAGCAGCTAGAATATGCAGAAACTTTGGCAGTAAACCAGCTAAAACTGAAAAGGCATAACACGGTGAGACCCTTTACTTTTATTCTTTGTGGTCACAGAGAAATGTGTTGGTAAACTCCACCCTCGAGTCCTGATTAAGAAGTGATTTTTGAGATCCCATGGGTAACAGGCTATGTTCCTTGTCTTTCCTTAGCACTTCTGGCATTTACCTCTCAGGTTCTCACCTCCTTACAAAGGAGTAGTGGTATGTATTCATCGTGAAGTTTAGTAGCCGTAGTGACGTAGATCTCAGCCCTGCATTGGCATTGCTTGTTTTTCTCCATCATTTATTCATCACTAACTGGTTGCAAATGCATGCTGCCCAAGGTTGTGCTTGGTTTATGAAGTTTAAAGGATTCCATCTTCTGTATTTACTGATTTATATTGGTAATGTTGTTTTATATTTTGTGATGTCTAGATCAGTGGTTCTCAACTGGAACCATGTCAGGAATCAGGATCCACCATTAACTTGCAATGCCAATAAAGAACTGAATTTAGTATAGAAATTGAAGTACTATATACTTTCACAACTTTAATAAGCATTAAGTAATACTAAATAGCTACACTATATTTATAAACAAAATAACTCTATATTCAAGGATTAAATAAAGTCACTAATCTTAGTAGTTGTAAATTCACCCTTAATCTAAAATTATTTGTACACCCTTCTTTGTGGACAATCTTTATTTAATTTGTCCCAACAGAAAGTTTGTTTAAGTAACGTGTTGTAAACAAATCAAACTACAAAATATTATATTTATTTAATTGGGAAACATTTTATCTTTTGCATGCTCTTTTTCACTGACAAAACCATAAGTCGTGACGGTAGCCAAAAATATATGAATGTGAGTTCATATATTGTTGAGTTTTAAGTTAGGTACTCCAGCTTTGATATTACTTTCTTAATGTCTTAAATCTTTTTTTTTTTTGTATCACCAAGACAATATTACTTCTACTACACTGCAAAAAAGTCACATAGAAAGATCTATATTTGACGTTGAGAACCTCTGGTCTAGATGCATGACCACCTACTTGGTTTTCTTACTAACTTGGTTTTGGGATCAGAGGCTAACATTTCTATCAAAAAGTAATAAAATGATCTTCTTTTCCTTCTCATTAAGATTCACGAGAAAGTCCCCTCTGATCTCAGTGTTGTACCTGAAAATGAGCCTATAGATTCAGAAACAGAGGCAGAGAAGAACCTGGTGGAGCGAATTAAGTCCATCAAACAGGAAAAGTATGTGTTTCAAGTCTTACTGTCTCTATTTATTGATATTTGTTTTGTTAATGGCTTGGTTGGTCCTTTTGAAGAGAGGACCTGGCTTGCCGACTTCCTGAGATGGAACAACCTGGTTCTGATCAGGAGAATTTGGATTCTGAGGCTTCCTTGAGCTCGGAAAGTTTGTTGGATGAACAGCAGCGTTTTTTAGCTCACACTACAGAGCTGGAAGGTTAGTATTCGGTTCCATTTAGACTCGTCCTTTCTTTCTTGGTCTCACCTGTGGTTTCTGACCAAACCACGGGTCCGTCGGCTTGGGCCCTTGCCTTCTCTTGTGGTGCAGGTCTGGACCAGTGATGGTGATGGGGCGGTGATGTCTGCTGTCTAACAAAGCAGGTTGGGCAAACAGTAATACTTTAGTTTTTTCCCGTGCATTAGGCTGCAATAAGTGCATGCAAATGGAAAAAGCGGTTTATTTCACTCTTCATTACTAATTTGAAGACCTTTTAGGCTGAATGTGACTACATTGAGTTTCTGTATGGAATTGCAGAATGAATAAGTAAACATCTTTATTTTCCAGGGCACCTGTTTAAGAGAAGTAAACCAGTTTGTCCTCCGAAACCCTCCGATCTGGCTGTGCGCTTTTCAACTCTGTCCATCTCCATCAGAGGCCTCAGTCCCACAGGCTCTACTGCTTCAACATCCTCTTCAGTGTCTGGCTGCACATCTACATCTTCTGACCTGTCCCCTCCCTTCAAAATGTCCCTGAAACGGCGCAATGTTATTCCAGACACCCTTAAACTGCCTTTGGGGTTTGCATCAAGGTCTGCTCAGAGCACAAGTCCAGAGAGTCAGAGTCAAATGTTAAAATCCATTATCAGGACAAAGGGACAATCTGGTCACAGGAAAGAATCTACTCAGTCCTTGTACATCAACAGCCCTGAGTGTGACTATTCGCCCAGCTCCTCACCTGGCCACCAGCAAGAAGCTCCAAATGGCCAGAGACGTTTTTCAGACCCTCACCTGCCCTTCACAGATGATTGTCTTTAAGAGCACATCATTGTGACAAAATGTGTTCATTGGCGATGGCCTTGAATTCACAGGAGAAAAGGGCGATGAAAAATTACGCAAAAAAGAGAACGCAGAAACCATTGTTTCCTTCGTCAGAACCAACTCATCAGCAGACAACTTATGGTTTCCAAAATAAAACTGGACTACTTGTTGTTACAAAGCACCTTTTCTATTATTTTAATATATTGTTAATGTTGATGAGTAGTGTCTGGCCAGGCTAAATAATGGTAAGCCTAAATGGACCAGAAAACTTTTTTTTCACCGGCTATCTTTTTTATGCGTTTGTGCTAACTGAAATGTAGCAGGTTCCCGTCGCACTTTTGTAATTCTTAGTTCTCCTATCGAGCATGTAACTAACATGCTCACTGACATGTTAGCTAGTGCCTTGTCATGTACAGTATGCTGAAAAAACTTTGTAATTATTACACATTTTTGTGAGAGAGATTGTGTTATTGAGAGTAACTTGCCACACAGATTTGGACTGAAACAGCACAATACACAAAGGACCTGTCTTTTCTTTTAGATTGTGCTGCTTTCACAGCTCCTATACTTTAATCTTTTAACTTGTTGCACAACAGTAACTAAGAAGATATTGCCTTTTCATAGCATAGGGATGAACATATGCCATTTTCCCATTTTTAAATACAAATATTTGGCTCATGTGCCAATTGACTATCACACCTACAATTAAAATTGTAACATAACTCAAAGCAGAAGCCATCTTTGTAATGTAATTGTAATGATTCATTGTAAGTATGTTGTTCATATGAAAACAATGTGGTATGTGTATCGCAGAGTGAATGGTCGGGACTGAATGAAAAAGGTAGTTTTCAATATTTACTTGCTAATACAAACCATGATGCTCCAATTTGTTCTTTGTGTTTGATTGAATTTTAACTTGTGGTAGAAAAGTTTTCTGTGACTGGACAATTACATTTCACAATAAAAAATAGACCGTCCAACCACCACTAATTGCCACGCACAAACCAGACAACCAGACGTATAGTAGGCAAAGTGGCTGATTTTTATTTTCTTGCCGATGGACACTAGGGCAGTTGCACTTTAGAGCTACAAATTCAACTGCGTGGACATTTTCAGTTTTCTTTCAACCACTAGTTCTCATTCTATTGATATTAGGGAACTGTAGCTTCTCAATAAGAGGAAGGTCCTCCTGGGTATGGATGTATTATAATATTTGTCCTGTGTTCAAATACTGGTCAGAACAGGGGCTTTCAGAGGAGTTTACATATTCTCAAACCACTAAAAGCATGTAGAGATGGTAGCGAATTCTTTAAAACAGAAGTGTATATTTGGTCTTAATTAAACGGAGAACTCTTGTCATAATAATGTATAATATATATGCTTTGTCATCCTTTCTAACTCGAATTTGCTTATTATTTTCAATTCTCCCTGGTTCGGCGGAACATGAGCATAAGAGAAATATAAAGTATTAAGGAGGGGACATTTCTCCCATCCAATCATGCTCCAATCCCGTCCGTGGACCTGATTGGTGCTAACGCGGATAAAGCTTGTTGTTTGCACCAATGAAGGGCGGGCATATATCCATGAGGGCGGAGCTTACTCCCCGGTGATCCAAGATGGCGGCCTATTCAAATGAATGGCTCGTGCTCATGGGTCATGTCATGGATCTATAACATGGATCTAGATTTATAATAGGATACTCCAGCAGAACTCGCCAGCTGCACACGAGGGCGGCACCATGGGGCGGAGCTTTCCAGATACTGATATCCGGTTCATGGTGGTGCCCTGAGGGTGTGCTGAGAGTTATCAGCCCAGCTGAGTCTATGGTCAAAAACAGGGAATAAAGAAGAACGCTATCCTACCATGGATAGTATTCTACAGTCAAAACCCTTCCCATGTTGGAAAAGTGGAAAGGCAAGAAGGTCATCCCTTGCTTGGTCAGAGTGTAAAATGGCAATGGGTTTTGAGGGGGATATTCGTCTTACGGTGTCTTGGAAAGTTGGAGAGATTGCCCAATGTAGATGCAGACTTTTATTCGCAGAGCCGAACATATCTGCGTGATTGAATCATATAATACAAACAATATAATACATCCATGGTCCCTGCTCAAAAGCGTAAACAGTCTCAGAAGCAAGAGAGGGTCCAGTACAGTAGGTGGCGGGACCTAAAAGTTGGATGCCATCCGCCAAAAAAACAAGAACGACGCTCTCTCTCTCTCTCTGGCCCATGGATGCCCTACCCCAATACTCGCACTTCCACCCTCGCGCCCCCCTTTACGTTTCTCCGTCTGATGTTGCGCGAGCCACTTGACTTCCGCTTGAGACAGGAAGTGTCAAAATAAAACTTTTTCCTACTGATATTAATACAACCTTTACAGCAAGCATTCATATAACATTCAATTAAAACTTTACACTTAGTACAATAAACTTAGTATGTATAAAAACTGACCAGATAACAGTTAGTTACCCACGTTTAACTTAAAATTATATATTTTAACGTGTGTGGAGCAACTCATTTTGTTTCCCACAGGGTCAGACAAAATAACCTCTTCAGTTTAGGTCTGAAAATGACCATCTCTTGACGAGTCGATGACGTAACCTGCACTCAGTGTGCACTGTCCCAATTCCGCCTTTTTGCACGCTTGTAACCTGCGCACTTCAAACAAATGCACACTTCGTAGAGGAGTGTAGGGTGCAGTGTGGGTATTGGGATTAGGCCTCTCTGGCCCCGTCCCAATACTCGCACTTCCACCCTCGCGCCCCTCATTTGCGCGTTCCCGATAAAGGGTGCGAGTGCGTAGGGTGTCCCAATTCTCCAGGGAGGTCTTTGGCCCCACCCCCTTTGCGCCCCTGATCCACACTTCCCCGTAGCCTGCGTCTATGCGCACTCTGGCGAAGGATATTGCCCATAATTCTTTGCGGTACACACCAAAACGTCGGGAAAATGCATATATGCAGTATGTGTGTAAATAAGTTTTGCTATGTTACTTGGAAAGAAGCATAAACGTCGGATGAAGACTTACGGACATTGTGTTTTAACAATTTAATAACTTTTTAAACCAAGCGTTAATATAACATTCAATTTGAACTTTACACTTAGTACAATAATCTTAGAATGTATAAAAACTGACCAGATAGTTAGTTACCCACATTTAACTTAAAATTATACAGCTATCTCTAATTAAAAACCACTAATATACGTATGTATTTTAAAGTGTGTGAAGCCATTCAATTTGTTTCCCAAAGGGTCAGACAAAATTACCTTTAATTTTTATAAAGTTTAGGTCTGAAAATGACCATCTCTTGACGAGTCGATGACGTCACCTGCACTCAGTGTGCACTGTCCCAATTCCGCCTTTTGAGCACGCTTGCAACCTGCGCACTCAAACCCTTGTGCGCACTTCAAACAAATGCACACTTCATAGGAGGGCGTAAGGTGCAGTGTGGGTATTGGGACTGGGCCTCTCTCTCTCTCTCTAGTTTCATACACAGACGTCATAATACTGCGACAAGTGGAGCATCAGACATGGCTTCTAGATTAGAAATCAATTTTATCAGATTGCTTTCTCGGTGTGAATCTATTGCCTCAGACAAACGTGGTGAGACGGAATGGAGACTGGAAAAGGTAGATATATATTCTTTAAAATGAAAATACTTTTTGTTGCAATAGAGCTTGGCTTTAGCCACGTAGTCGTCGTGGATAGCATTCGTATACTAGCTTCTACATTGTACATGTTTTTTGGTTTATATTTGCAGTACGTGGCTGCCTTGGAGGAGATGTTGGTTGCATTGAGGAAAGCTCCAAGGTAATGTTATATTCAAATATGTATTTCTTCAAATGTTTACGTATTATATTGTCTTTAGTTTAACATCAACATTATTCCAAAGCAAACCAACACCAGAGATTCTAACAGAATATACAAGAAAAGTGGGGTTTTTAAAAGGACTACTTGAAGCAGAAAAACTGGTGCGTATACTTTAGCAGTGTCATGTCTGCATTGAAATGTAATCCATTTGTTGTGTTTGTTTTGATGAAGTCCTCACCAGCTGAAAAAGCTTTGGCTAATCAGTTTCTTGCTCCTGGAAGAACCGCAACTATTGAAAATGAGAGGATGTCTGCCACTAAAACTGTCCACATGCAAACACAAGCCCGGTGTACTGGAGAAATGAGAGCAGAGTTGTTCTCCACGGTAATGAACAACCACTAGTGTTTTAATTAATTTTAGTTATGTAATAAATATGTAATACATTTGTTTGTTTCTCCATAGAATTCTCCACAAAAAGGTAATAAATTCAATGTCAAACCCTGTTTTGTAAAATGCATAATTTCATTACTGTTCTTATTCAGGCACAATGGAAAACGAATTGCGAAATAGAAGGTATGAATTCAGACGATTCCCTTTCCATTATATTATGTCTATTTAACATTATTTTTCCAAAATCTTTTAGAGGTTTGCCGGTGGATGAACGTCAGTCAGCTGCAGAGCTTGATGCAGTTCTTCAGCACCATCACAATCTTCAGGAGAAACTGGCAGACGACATGCTCAACCTGGCCCGGAACTTGAAGAACAACACTCTGGCTGCACAGAACATTATTCGCCAAGACAACCAGGTGACTGCCAAATTATGCATTTTTGCCTGCAAACATGTAATACATTATCAAAAATCACGATTTAGCAAATTTGTATAATATTGCAGTTTCAAAAACATAATTCATAGATAAAGTTAGATCAAGTAATCATTACTCACCATCGCATAGCTGTTCATTCCTCAACAAGCTTAGATCTTTTACAATTATTGTTAAAAGCTCAAGAAAATGGCGTGCAATGTTTACTTCCAGAAACTGGAGGTGGGCAGGTACTTCACAGCTTCATAGATATTCTGTTTTTAATATGATTTGCTTTCCTTCTGTACAGACATTGAACCAGTCCATGCGCCAAGCTGATCTGAACTTTGAAAAGCTTAAAACTGAGTCTGAGCGACTGGAGCAACACACAAAGAAATCTGTGAACTGGCTGCTGTGGCTTATGCTCATCCTGGTGTCGTTCACATTCATCAGTATGATCCTCTTCATCAGGATCTTTCCCAGACTCAGATGAGAAATGATTGTTTCAAGAACTGTAACAACCCACTTTTATCACTGTAATGAAGCAGCCTTTTTGTAGCACTAGTGATGGACGTACCTGGAAAAGAGTCAAATCCGTCCCCTCTCTCTCTACGTGACTAAAACTCAAACTAAATCCCCAGGTCAGCAGGAACAAAGCACATCCACTCAAAGGATTGTATAATTAAAATGTAACAATTTTATGTAATTACATTATTTTTATTTTTTCTGCATCTAAAGACATAGAGCTCTTCCCAGATGTGTTTATAGTTTATAAAATGAAACACAAATGAGAAAAATACTGACTTGTATTTTTTATGAATGATTTACCTTTTGATCAATGGAAGATTACAACAGAGCATATGGCTCACTTGGTCGGTGCATAATGTAGACTATGGAGCTCCATCGTACATGCAGCTAACAGAGAGACGCCTTGTCCACAGTTCACTGAAGTGCTAGATGGTTTTAATGTATCCTTAAACTGATAATTAAATTGGGTTATTATTTGTATGTGCATACACAGTTTGCAGCTTTATATGACTATTGCCCTCACGCTGCTCGTATGCACGGACCGGTTGCGGAATTGATAAAATCATTTTTGTAATGTTGAACACCAATACTGTTCTATGAAATGGGGATTTGCATTTGTGGTTACACATCACTTTATTTCAATTCAACGTTAACATTAAAAGATTACTTTATTCTTGTTGTACCATGAGAAAAAAACGAATTAAATTACAAGAATAAAGTCTCTTTACCAAGACGTTTTCTACCTTTGACTTTAGTAAATCTCATAATATTGCGACTTCGACTGTATTCACGTTGGAATAAAAAAATGATCCGCTTTATGCGCCGTTTCAGAAAATGATAGAGTAAACCTGCTCCTCATTTTGAAAAGGTCTTTTAAAGCACACACTGAGTGCAGTATCAACATTTGTCCAGTGAGTGTCAGTATCGGTCTCACTTCTAGCCAATGAACCGCAGTGACCTTCATGACCTCCATGCACCCCTGGCTGATTATAGAAACGAGTTTCCACACATAGAACGGCCACTATTCTAATCTGAGACTTGAATACCATTGACTATTTCATGTGTTAAATATTGACGAGTCCACTGTACCAATGAACGTATGCGTTTTCTTAAACATATCAGCATTGTTGTGACATGGTTTTAAAGTGTTTTAGTCTAGAGCGTGGGAAAGAGTTTTGAATCATGACACATTCCGAGTGTGTGTTTGAGGCTTTTGCTGCAGCTCTGCTTGTCCAGACTTGCGGTGTTGCTGGTCTTTCTGTCTTTTGGCCTTTGCTTTTGGCTGGGCTCAGGTCTAGCTAGTAGCTACCCCCCTGTGTATTTTGAGATCCCTGGGGGGGCTTACTGTTTACTGAAGCAGAGGTATGCAGGTCACCATGACATGGGGCCAAATGAGGTGGTGTCACAGAAAAATCATCATCCCTCAGTTTAACCACAGCTGTTAGTTCTACTGTTCTCAGGGATTTTATCAGGATGGGACCATGACATGTAAATTACCAGTGCATGTTTATGACATTTTGGTGCAGATAAAAATACTTTTAAAAAACTTTTCATATCATTGAACGGTATTACTCAAACAAATTTTGGTTAAAATGATTCTACAAAATGAGTTGAATTAAATCTATCAATATTGTGACGCTAAGGTTGAAGTCCTCTATATGGACAGTCTAAAATAATTTTGAGGATACATATAGAGCTAAATCTATTTTTTTCTATTTTTTCAACGACATTGATCTCTCAATAAAAAAACATCTGTTTTAGTTCCATCCAAGCCGTGTATGAAGAAAAGATTGTGATCTCTTTATAGTAACTCAAACTCAGCAATTGAATCAGTGGAAATACCCATAACATCTGCACTGCTTTCAAACATGATTTATCTATTTCAGAATTTGTCCTATGTTCCTTAAACTTGTTCTTGGATAGGGCTGGGGTATTCATATGTGCCCAGGCTGATTGGGGCTTGTTGAGCATTGGATAATGTGCAGTTTCACACAAAGCCATAAGCTGAAAACAAAGCACACCTCTTGGGGCCTCTTCAGGGCTATCCTACAGACTAGCTCAGCAGGTGCTATGCAGCAGCAGGGCCCCCTCAGCATGGCTCCGGGGCTTTGAGGAGCTACTCATTTATCTAACTACAGTTAGTGAATACAAATGTAAAATTCTTGAGCATTTTAAATCCAACTCTCAAGGTTTCTCTCAAGGATACATTCACATTTTTTGTCCACTGCGGAGAAACGTCAAGGGCAAACAAGTTCTGTGATGATTGTCTTACAACAACGTGCGCACATTCTTTAATAATCTTTTACTATGATGTAACTCCTTGATGGCTCATAAAATGGTGGTAATATACAGTGAGGTAAATGTGTAGTCAGCCACCAATTGTGCAAGTCCTCCCTCTTAAAAAGATGAGAGGTACCTTTTATTTTCAGAGACAAAATGAGAAAAGAATCATGAAAAAACACAAATTATCCACCATAATTTGCAAATAAATCCAAAATAAGTGGAGGAAAGCCTCTCAAAGAGGTCACAGGTCTGTGAGAGCCAGAAATATTGCTTGTTTGTAGATGACTAAATACTTATTTTCTACCATAATTAAATTATTAGAAAACGTGATTATCTGGAATTTTATTTCTCATTTTGTCTCTCATAGTTGAGGTACAGTATACCTATGATGGAAATTACAGTTACTTCTTAAGTGGCAGAACTTGCGCAATTGGTTGACTTATTGCTTTTTGACCCACTGTTCATAATTCATAAATCAAAACTTAAAATTAGTAGGTACCTGGTCCCAAGTGTATAGGGACGCAAATGGAAGCTGGTCATATTCCCAATAACCACTTTGTCCATCCATTTTCTTCCCCTTAATCCAATTCTGGGTCAGGGGGGTGGCAGTCACTGATCCTCCTGCAGGTGGTGTGTCCACAGGAGCTGAGATCTTCCAGCAGGGGCTTCAGTGCCTTCCCCAAGGACACAACGGCAGCAGACATCACTGGGAGTCATGAAGTAGGTCTTACGGTGGGCTCGAACCCACAACCTTCAGGCCCAAAGGCCAATGCTCTACAAACTGAGCCACAGTCACCCTTGCTTTGTTATATACATTATTTGATAGGGACAATGAATATTCATGGACATCAGTATAGTTTCAGGGGCGTCAGTAGCTCAGTTGGTAGAGCATTGGCCTTAAGGCCAGAAGGTCGTGGGTTCAATTCGAACCTCTACACCTTCTCCACCGACTCCCACTGATGACTGCTGTCGTTGGGTCCTTGGGCAAGACACTTAACCCCACTTTGCCCATTGCCCCTGCTTAAAGATCAAGGCTATGCTCACACTCAGAGCAGCCGTCCTCCTGTGGACTCACCACCTGCAGAGGGTCAGTGAGGGGCTGGTGCTATGAGACTTGGGTGGCATCTCTGACTGCCACCCCCCTGGCCCAGAAATGGATTAAAGGGTAGAAAATGGATGGATGGATGGATCAGTATAGTTTCATCCAGTCCCTAGACATGCAAATGCATAAGTTACAACATACAAGACAGGCAGCTCAAGGACAGTGGACATGATATAATATTGTAATATAATCTAAATCTATAGCCCAGGATTAAACCCTGTTAAACAATAGACATCTGCTAACAGCAGCTTCTGGTGGAATATACAGCTCACTATAGCTACTGTATATTCTTGGAGTTAACGTCCAATTATGTCGTAAAACGCCATCAAAAAATTCAATATCTCATAGAAATATAATTTTGGGTATTTTAGAAGTTAAATATTGCGACAGAAATAGAATAGTTTGTAAGTTGCACTGTTTTCCAATTGTCTGTTTTAGTAAGAAATGTAAAAGGGTGTGTACACCAATAAAAATATATGAAAACAAAAGAATAGTTCATCATTGTTTTAAAGTGGTTTTTGTAAAATGCCACAGACAGCTTGGATGAGTTTTTAGTCTGAAAAAATAATTTCAGAAACAATTTGAATGATGTAGTAGATATGATCTGACAAATTACAATTAGATTTGTAAGAATTACAAATTTAAACGTTGAATTTGGAATTTGTAATTGGATTCTCTCATTCAGCTCTACACTAAAATGACTTGGATACAGTGATACACTCCATATAAATAAATTGGCCTTATACTGTATAAAGCGCCATTCATACAGAAGCATAATACATATTAATAAAGAACACGGGCTTATGTAAATGCTGAGGTGAATAGCCATGTTTTAATGCCTGATTTAAACAGTCCTATACATAGTTCCCACAGACCAATGAATGTCACATGACCTCCTCGGAGACGCCATCTTTGATGGCACGTTGCTGTGTTTGTGCATTCCATTAAACAGAAGAATGAGAATAAATGTAGATATTCAAACGCAAATTGGAAAAAAAGGGCAACTTTTGAGCAAATAATTGTATATTAATACAATGGCACCACAGTTTAACGTGCTACGGACATGTTTTACATATTTGATCAAATTATGCAGCAAAAATTAACAAGCAATGCAAACATTTCTCAAAAACTAGATTTAATACCAGTTGGAGCTCCATTTAATTATTTTAATTATATTAACAATTAATTTAATTAATGCTAATGCCACACGGACACTCTGGATTGCTGTTATTGTTTATTTCCGCGTTTTTGACCGTATGTTTTGGTGAATGGTGGGCAACTGATTTTTCCAGGCGTAAAGAGCAGTTTATTTTATGACACAGATCTTTTTACAGAAGCAATGCTGTTTGTGAACATTGTTTTAGCCCACCATAGAACTATTATTATCTATTTAATACATTTACGTTGCCCTCGAGAGCCTCGGACGCGACACCGATCCTCCTCATAATAAAGTAATCTAAATAATGAAACTCTCAAGTTACCAGATATCAGCATACACAAGTTAGTACTGAGTAAATTACGTCTGTCAACACATTATAAGATACGATACGCACCTGACACAAAGTGCTCCGAGCATATTC